CAGCAAGGCGCCATCCCCAGCCCTGYGTCACCTGGGTCCATGGTCTGGGAGTTACGTTGTGTGAACAAACACCCCAAAATGCAGCAGGACCCCTCTGCAGAGGGGCCATATCAGATACTTCATAAAGGTTGATAGATCAACCTGGTCATAAATGGTTGATGTCAGTTCTGCACAACCCAAAATCGCAGGATAGATAAAGGACAGAAAATGGCCTGTTCATGTGCACGTGATCTGTATTTTTTTGTTGGTATTTTTTTGTTTATTTGTTTCAAACTGTTGCTCATCTACAGCACAAAAATACCTGCAAGTAATTTATGGAGAGAAAAACTGATTTTCCTGGTTTGGTTTTATTCTTAGATTGATACACAAAGTAAAGGCTTGGAGTCATGGTCATGTTACCACTGCCTACTAGCTGACTAATTGTCAGTGGATTGGAAACTATTCAAATTCTCTCTCTTGGTCTATGGTATATCTGAAAATTTACAGTCTGCCACTCTCTAATCTCCATCTTTATAGCTAAATAATGCTTTACAACTGGGGTTTTGATGCTAAAATCTATTTTCCAGAAGATTTGTGAAAATTATCAGAGACGTTACACCTGTTTTATACTTCCCTTATTAGTAAATGAGAGTATTATCTTGAGTAATGTACTTAGGCTTTCTGTCCTGATGTGAAGATATAAATTCTGCTTTAGACAACAGTAGTTTTAGTATTATCTATATGAAAGATTTTTTCACAAAACATGCTATTTCAAGCGAATTTAATGGACTTTGTTCAGCACAATAGATCAAACTGGAATGTTTTCTGATATACACTAGCAATGTCATTTATCTCAACTCTCCAATCTTACTGCATCTATTTGAAGAAAATACCGAAGATGTTGGATTTACTGATTATTTACTACTTCCATTTCACTTGACTTTAAGAGGTAGAGTCAGGCATACAAACTAAATGGTTACAAAATCTCTGGGGATTGCTTCTGAAAGAATAGAACTATTAACTTGATGTGTCAAGACATAATTCAAAATAGAGAAGTTACTGCTGACAGAACTAGATTAGTTTAGTTAAAAATTATTTGGCATCAGGAGATATGAACTTCGATTTGCCTGATTTTTAGAGGTAAATACAATAGGATAAATTTTATGAAAGGCTTTTAAAATGTGTTTATGAAGAAGGTCTAATATTTAGTTGCTAAAACAACAGTTCTATTTAAATGTCTTTACAATCTAGGGAAAGTAAAAAGTAATTCCTGGAGTGTAATTCCTCAAACATAACAATTTATGTGCCAAGTGAAACCTATCACTGGTATTTCTTAAAAACTTCAGAAAACTAAGCAAGTAGCATTAAAAGCAGCATTAACCTCCCAAGCTCACTGGGCTCCCAAGTTTCATCAGCATTCAACTGTTGATGAATTGCCAACATTTTTGAAGTGAAAGCCATATAAACAAAAGTACAAATATGTTTAAAATGTAAATGCTTTTGGGGATAAGATTAAATATCTCTGTTTCACAAAGAATATAAGGATGCCCCTTAAACCCCTTGAGTCCAATAGGACATAAACAAATGCTTGAAATTTGGCATGCACAGAGCTTTGACAGCTAAATTCACAGTGTTGGGAATTGCAACATGGAGCGGTCTCTTTTCCTGCTCTTATTAGCCCTGCCACACAGTGGATCCACAGGTTGGAATTAGATGTCTATAAATATAGTAAGATTTAGGTAGGATCCAAGCATGTAGCAAACACATGTCAACACGTGTTGAGTGGGAAAGGGTTAAGCCTGGCTAACAGGAAACTAGATGGAAAGTCTTTAGCTTGTCCTCGTGCAGAATTTAGGCTCATTCCTGCAGTGAATGTATAGCTCTGGCTGAGATTCATTCATATCACAGGTCCCCTTTAGGAGTCAGATGTCTATGGGATAACAGCCTATGCCAAGCCCTTTCTGAAAAACATTTCAAAAGGGCCACATGCTCATTTGTAAGAAGATTTCTCCAGGTTCAATTTATTCCTTTGCCAAAAAGTGTTTACTGTAGTGAAAAAATACCTGGACAAAAGACAACAAATGACTTCTGCTGGATGGAGTCATAACTTTTTACCTTTGAAAACTCAAATAAAGAGGATCTGCAGTCCAGGCCCAAGGCATCAATGGACAATTCAAAATTCTACAATTAATTTCAGCCATATCTTCCTGCTGCTTTACTGTGAATTCTTGATGTTCCTGAGGCCAGCACTTATGACAAATATGGCCTGTCATAACAACACCTATGACCTGTGTTGTTTGTTCATCATTTTCACTGGCAATAAATGCTCTTAAAGTCTTACACGTAATTCTCATGGGAAAAAGAAAGCTAACATATTTCTCATGAGATTCATTCTCAAAATACAAAGAAATGAGACTATATTTCTGGTCAATATTTTATTTATTTAATTTTGTTCTAGTATGCTTTCCGAAAATTATTTTATTATGTTTCAGAGCTAAGGATAAAGCCATGATGCCGTTCTTTTCTAAAGGARTAGTTTGTATTGTGATCAATGGCGCAGCCTAGCTGGAGGCCTGCGGCCCRTGGTGTCCTCCAGGGGTCAGTGCTGAGTTTGGTCTCATTCAGCTCACCCATGACCTGGATGAAGAGACAGAGCGCACCCTCTGCAAGCGTGTGGATGATAGCAGGCTGAGAGAAGGGRCTGATATCCCAGAGGGCTGTGCTGCCATCCAGAGGGACCTGGACAGGTTGGAGAGTTGKGCAGAGAGGAACCTCATGAAGTTCAAAGAGGACAAGTGCAGGGTCCTGCACCTGGCAAGGAATAACCCCGGGCATCAGTACAGATTAGGGGTTGACCTGCTGGAGAGCAGCTCCATGGAGAGGGACCTGGGAGTCCTGGTTGACACCAAGTTAACCATGAGGCAGCAGTGTGCCCTCGTGGTATCCAGGCTGCATCAGGAGGAGTGTTGCCAGCAGGTCAAGGCGGATGATCCTTCCCCTCTCCTCAGCTCTGGTGAGGCCGCACCTGGAGTATTGGGTGCAGTTCTGGGTTCCCCAGTATAAGAGGGACGTGGAGCTTCTCGAGAGGGTCCAGCAGACTGCAACAAAGATTACTAAGGGACTGGAGCATCTATCTTATGAGGAAAGACTAAGTGAGCTCGGCCTGTTTAGCCTGGAGAAGAGAATATTGAGAGGGGATCCTATCAACGTGTAAAAATACCTGAGGGGAGGAGGTAAAGAAGATGGGGCAAAACTCTTCTCGGTGGTSGCCAGTGACAGGACAAGAGGTTGTGGATACAAACTGAAACATAGRAAGTTTCCTCTGCATATGAGCATGAACTTCTTTACTGTTAAGGTGACAGAGCAGTGGAACAGGCTGCCCAGAGACACTGTGGAGTTTTCTTCTTTGGAGATATTCCAGTGCTGTCTGGACGTGATCCTGTGCAATGTACTGTAGGCGTCCTTGCTTGAGCAGGGATATTCGACTAGATGATCTCTAGAGRTCGCTTYCAACATCAACCATTCTGTGATTCTAGCATAATAATGGAACTGATAACAGCTCACAATCTTAGATTCACCTTGCATGGGAACAGAAAAACAGTTGACAAAAATGCATCTGACCAAGAGAATGCGCACTGATTACAAATTGGCAGGACTCGATGSATCCTAACTCTTAGTCCCTCAAAACATGAATAGTTGAGTGTGAGGCATAACTCTTATTTCTTTTCTCCAAAGTACCATATATATTTGTTTTCATTTCTTGTAAGTGAAGGCAAAAGAGGGAACTCCATTATGTGAGATTTTATTTTAWATATAAATACATGAGGGAGAGAATTTATGACTTGGTAAATTGTAAAAAAGTWCATCTAACACTTTCTGATCCTTTTGAATGTGTCCATAACTGGGGAGAACAGATATTTTTTGGTGAGAGTGAGAAAGAGAGAAGGGTCAAGGATAATTAAGAAAAAACAAACAACAGATGAGGATTTCAACCAGAATCAGTTTATGGTTTATAATGTTCCATTGAACAATCTGAAGACTTCAAAACATTCAGCTGTGTAGGATGCCCCTTAGTGGCTGAATAAAAATACTGTTGACAGATAAATAATTTTAAACACTAGAAAAGAAAAACAGCATTTGTGTTTATTAAGTGAGAAAAGAAGGAATTTAAATACTTTCACACACAKAAGAGCTACAAAGACATGTTTATGCAAATTCTCAGAAATAAAATTTGGAAACTGGTGACAGCAACAGAATATTCCTGAATAAACTATTATATTGAGTGAGAAGAACAAGAGAACAAGGGGAAAGGAGAGAAAGAAAAAAGGTCAATCTATTTTTATTTTAATCAGAATGTGTGTTATGGGATGAGTGAGTTTTGTTGAACTCTGCAACAACAACAACAATAAAAATCCAATATTTTTACTGTTTATTTCCTAGAGTAGAGAGTTTCTGTACAGAACACYGAAGTTAGCTGGTTTGGTGTCAAAGCTCCTTTCTAATAACATACTTCTGGTGCAGTCTGCAGCTATTTCTGCTGTTATATAAGGATACCAAAACATGATACAATGGCTTAACATTTCTACACATAAGGCATGAAATGKTTAAGACTCAACAATAAAGTATAGAATGCACAAATCCTGTGATACAATTCATATATATAGTTAGATATAACAGTATGAAGAGTCTCTGAGTCTTCATTTGCTCTAAGACTTGTCATGAAGAGCATGCTTCCACGTTGTCTCCTCAAAACAAGTCTCTGTATAGGAGCCTATTTGTAAAAGCTGTAATAAGGTGACCTTAACAGAGCATTGTGCCCCCATCTATATCTTTATCCCTATTSTGACTTTAGCTATGCTTTAGCTATGCTGCAGCTTTAAATCCTCTATGTATGCACTGGATAATGAAAGAAATCCATTCTGTTAGTCATTATTCTTTTTTCTTTCTCAAAGAAATATGTGATTCTTCTCTTTTATTTTTTTTTGCATGTAGAAATCAGGACTGCAAAGTGTCTTCCAACCTCCAGACTGATAACTGAGAGCGCGAAGCCGCTCATCGGCACTGCTGACATGAGGCTCACTGCTTGAGTCACATCCCAACGCGGATCAAAGGGTCAAGGGAAGTCTCTTTGCTCGAGCTAGCTGGTGCGTGCTGTAGCTGGATATGCTGATCCCAAACATTCCCAGGAGCACGGCTGTACGCTGCAGCAGCGTGTCTGTCGAGTTGATAACTATTTTTCCTGCAGCTTGAGTCTATGGGAAAAAGAGGGCAAGTTACTTGCTGATTCTGCTGAGTACCATAAGGAGGCAGGTCTTTGGAACCCACTTTTTTTTTTTTTTTTTTTTGTCTTCATTATGTTTAAGAGAGTACGACTGTACTTTCTGCTGAACAATACCTGGCAGAAACAAATGCACATTTTGGAAGGTGACCCTTTTTATCACTTTGCAAAGCAAAGGGAAATTTTCTGATATAATTTTTCATTCATTTGTAAGTCTCTGATTTCAGTGCCTTTAATGGGGTTCTTCCAGCTATTTGGCTGAGTTTTTATTTGGCTGAATCAGGCTTAGAGTTTTAAGAATAAAGGAAATGGATTTTCCTTTTCTATGAAATACAAAGACCTCTTCTCCCAGATTAGCTACTGTGCATACTGTGATTAGCTACTGGAGCAGCTCACTTCAATATCAGTTGTTAATTCAGGAAAGCAAGGCTAAAGGGGATTGGTGACATCTTTCTTATTAACTCAATGGCTAGAACTAGACCATTGACACAAGCTTTAACACCCTCTCATCAACAAATCTGGCAAAGAACTAGGCAATGCCAAACAAAGGGAAGAATAAATTACTTAATAATTATCTGAATAACAATTGAAAAATAAATTAAGCTAGTACTGCTTGCCTAACACATACAGTACACTGACCAAGAAGCAGGAACATAGCTGCATAGAATATCTAGAAAGCAAACCACAAATTCTTATTATGAGAATTATAATTATACTGACACTGTAAGTTAAAACATATCATGGATATTTCTAGCTGCAGCATTTCTTTTGTGAGATAATGATTTAGCCCTGCCCAAAGCTTTGGGTTTTACTCTTTCCCTTGCACTCCGTGGATGGACTGCATGGCACCACTGCAGTGGCTGACACAGGAGCTCCTGCTCAAAGGAGCCTGATTGTCACCTCCAGATCACAGGAATTCTGTGCAAGTGCAAATAGCCACAGTTCTGAGCTTGGACCTTGACAACGTGAATGACTGTGTGGCTACTTCAGCAGGGGCATAAATAAAGACAATAGAAATTCCCAACAAAAGTACTATGCAAGGCGATAACATAAGATACAGGGGCAGACATGAAGAACTCGCTGCGAGGACTGCCGCACAGCACTCCTAGCTTAGCCATACCACCCAAAAAGTCTAGGCTCTATGATTTTGGATGCAGGTCACAGAGTTAAGAGCTGGGAGATTCTTGAGCAAAAGAACGTACGCCCCACAAATATCAAAATATGGCCAACATTACACATGTCCTTCTTTAGAATATATTTTTTCTATGACTCTTTTATTCTCTTTTATTTAGCCGATTTAAAACATTTTCTATCCATGCTTTCATTTGTTCTTCATATAATAATCCATTTGCTGGTCCCTTGGTCTTCCAGAGGCAATTACTGTTTGAGATTTCTTTACCATAAGTATAAAAGTGAGTTGACGATTCACTGATAGTTCCTTTTATTTGGAGTCCCATTATCCTCATTCTTGTTAACATTTTCCTACAGCCCCAAATACTCAAAGCCATTGCAATCTAAAAGGATGGCAAAATAATTACTGTTGAAGTAAGTGCTAAAGAAACATAAGCTGTATCCACCTCCAAGTATTCTTCACTAGGCATTCCAGAATAGTACTAATTATCAAGAATTATCCTAATTCATTTACTTTCAAGCAGATGTCTGTGTAAGATGTATATGAGTAGTTACAAAAGCCTACCCACCAGAAGCCATTGCTCCCTTGGGTTGGTCACACAATAACACGAGATAAAATCTGTCTGATAAAGACAGATATTGGTAATTCAAAGATCTAATTAAAAGAGGGAAAAAAAGGACAGAATTTTCATACCTGCAATAACCTTATATACCCAGGTGTCATTCTTCGCAGACGAATAACCATTGTATCTGTCCTTGTAGAAATTCAGCCCTACAATTCTAGAACACAGAAAACATTACTATTTTTTAAATTGACCTATTAATGAAACAGAAGATTAAATCTAGTATGGTTTGTCATAATGCAAAAAACACTGTAAGAATGAGCATATGCAAACTCTCTTTTCCTCACCTGGTGCTTTTCCCTGCCAGGCCATTACCTGCTCCCGCCCTGCTAGTATATAAAGCTCAGCTCAGTTACATAAGCTGTCACATGGGATCTATCCGTGGAGCTTAGGTGTTGGCAGGGGCTGTGACTGGCTTGCCTGGGGCTAGGTATGTCTGCAATATTGGAAGGCTCTCTGGGAATGTCTGGAGCTCATTAAGAAAGCAAAGCAACAGCTGACCTCCTTAAGAAAAAAAAAAAAAAAAAAAAGCCTAAGCCTGTTTTATAGATAGCCCTGGACATAAAAAGGGCAGTCATTAGAGCATTTTGTAGTGTACAGTGACAATGCAAATAGGATTTGAGTGCTTTTGTATAACTTAGAAACTATATTTATACCGCTGCTTGACTGTGTGGGAAGTTTAATTCAGCTATGACCCAGGTTGAAAGGATGTTCCCATGTATTAATAGGGTTATATGGAGACACATACAGAAGTAAGATCTCTCTCTTCTGATGGCATTCTCCTCCACATGGTATTCTGCATATTCTTGACTCCTTTTTCTAATGGTAAGAATTTAATATTTAAGAAAAACCCCAAACCCAGTATTTATCATTACTCTTATCACTGTATTTTCTTACTGAGATTTCTTTTCACTGTAGTGAGCTTGGACTCAGTTCTGCTCCTGGGTTACACAGTGTGAAAAATGCCAGAAAATCTGATCAGYGAAGTTAATTTATTTAGGCTGTGCTGGGAAAGCTTCTATCTCCCCATCATCAATATATGCAACCTAGAATAACGATGGCAAGGCAGAATTTAGTTCCAATTATACTCATATTTCTAAACACGCAGGGCAAAATCTTCAAGTGATGTAAATCAGYACAGCACCAGTGAGCAGAGTGAACCCGCATCAGTTTTCTTCAGAAGTGTTCAGCAGAACAGCAYTGGTCTACACCCCTTTGGTCTCTCTCTAGTAAGGCAATCTAAAGCTTATTTGGAGACTTATTCCTTCTACAAAACAACAAAATCATGAAATGTTTCTGTTCTACATTAGGTATTTCACAATGACGTCAATCATCAAGACTTATTGTCATTCACTCACTTCTTGCTTAATTAATCCTATATAAAGGAATGGAGTGGTGTTATTCTGGGGCTCTGGGTTACATAAGAGAGCAGGAGGACTAACTTTTCTCTCACTGCACCACGTTTATAACATACGAAGTCTGCAGGCATCAGCAGAGTCATGTCTCATACATATACACAAAAAAGTAGCATAAGTTGAACCAGCTCTAAAGTATCACAAAGTGATTGAGGTTGGAAGGCACCTCTAGAGATCATCTAGTCCAACACCCCTGCTCCAGCAGGGACACCCAGAGCACGGGGCACAGGGTGGCATCCAGGTGGGTTTTGAAGACCTCCAGAGAAGGAGACTCCACAACCTCCCTGGGCAGCCTGTTCCAGGGCTCTGTCACCCTCACTGTCAGGAAGTTCATCCTCACCTGGAGATGGAACTTCCTGTGTTTCAGCTTGTACCCATTGCCCCTTGTCCTGTCACTGGCCACCACTGAGAAGAGCCTGGCCCCTTCCTCCCAACATTCTCCCCTCAGGTACTTGYACATGTTGATCAGGTCCCCTCTCTGTCTTCTATTCTCCAGGTTAAACAGGCCCAACTCACTCAGTCTCTCATCATAAGATAGATGCTCCAGTCCCGTAATCATCTTTGTTGCTCTCCACTGGACTCTCTCTCGAAGTCCCGCATCAATTTAAATTCCACATCAATTTAAATACTAAAAGTAGGCGATGGGGAAACTGCCAGCCTGGTCCACTGGGTACATTGACTCCCTGCTAAGGCACAACTGCCGAATACCCCCCAGGGAAACAATCAACACAGTTGAGAGAGAACTGAGGGGAAGAGAGAGACTTCCCAGCTCAGCTTCAAATGACACGGGAACACAGAACCCCAGTATTAAGGGGAGGTCTTCAAAACCCGCCTGGATGCCACCCTGTGCCACATGCTCTAGGTGTGCCTGCTTGAGCAGGAAGGTTGGACTAGATGATCTGTAGAGGTCCCTTCCAACCTTAAATATTCTGAAATATTCTGAAATATTCTGAAATATTCTGAAATATTCTGAAATATTCTGAAATATTCTGAAATTACTAAATCCAAATCACTGTGCTTGTACAATGAGTGTGGCATTGGAATCTGAACTATGCAAACAAAAATACATCTCCTGTTTTTGTTTCTGACCGTTTGCAACATGCTACCTTTTCCACACATACAAAAAAGAACAGCTAGGATTGCTTCCCAAAGCAGGTTATAGCCTCAAGTTTCATAACTTGAATTCTTGTGGAAATACAGAGAATGATGGATTTTCTTTTTGATTTCTGGTCTTGCTCCTATTCAAAGAAAAACATATTTTCCAATATCTTGACTTAAACTACCAGAATTTCAGTAGTTGAAAAAAAAAAAAAAAAAAGCATCTAAGCACTAGCATTTTTTTTGCATAATTCTTTCAGTTCAGAGATTGAAAGCAAATGGAGAAACAAAGGTCCTGTGCTACTGTATTCAGAAATGGACAGTTTTATACTGCTTCTTTGTGCTAAAAACAAAAGCAAAGAAAAGCACTAAAGGAAAGTGCCTTGAGCACTATAACTGGCCTTAAAAAAAGATTCCTGGACATCCTCAATGCTGCTAAACTGTAGAATGTTTTATGTAATTACAAATATCACAAATATCATCTTCCAAAAAATTAACATGCCCAACTGGATGTAGAAAGGCCTGCCTCAGGTCCTCTGAAGGTTCAGGTCTCTGAGAACTGAGATTCCAGCCTGACATTTTGCATGGGAAAAAAAAAAGACATGAACATTCCCCTCCACAACCCATTCCTGGGCAGGGAGATGGGATAATGGAACGGGAAAACCACAAACAGAAGTGGTTCTCCTGGCAAATAAATGAAGATCTGACTTTCAGAGCAGACTACGAGCTCCATTCATCTGTCTTCACTGCTTGATGCAACCACTGCTTTCTAGGAATCACCATGTAAAGCAGCAAACTGTGTGATATCCTCCCTCCTCCACTTCCCTATCAGAAATCCAAAGGTGATGGGCACTTTGAACCAAGCTGTCAGTATTTACAACTTGGTGCTCTGTTTCCAATAAAGGGAAAATCAATATCGGAGTTAGATATATCTTTGGCATAGTCTTGTTATCTCACAAAACCAGGCTCAACTTCCCTGGTTTTCCATGATGCTTATTTCCCAGCTCTTTCTCCAGGTTATTTTTCAGTGCATTTCCTTTATTTTCATCCTGAAGAAAGGGCAGCTATTTCAACAATATCCTCTGCAGCAACACCTGACCTTTAGAAGCTTCTCTTCAGCAAAGAGGCATAGACTGGTTTCTTCTGCTGATATTCCTTCTGCTGTGCTTTCTTATTTCTTTTTTTCTTTTTCCCTCAAATTCCTAAAAATTGTGCAGCTATCATGAAGCAGATGGAGAGAGAAAAGAGGCAAGGTAGGAGAGTGCACAAGTGAAACCACACATGGTGTTAGGTAGTCTTAAGAGCTGTTTCTCTTTCACCTGTGTGAAGTCCTTGCTGCTGGCTTGCAGCCAGCATGTTTTTATTGCACAAAGGAAGGTGAGACAGGTTCACGTGCACCAAGACCTATTGGTGGGGTCTGCAGCTGGTGGCATGCATTGGCTGCAGTGTTGAAAGTCACTTTTTGGCAAAATAAAATAGAGGAGAGAAAATTCAAAAAAGCGAAAAATGAAAAACTAGCCTCAGTGACCAASAGGAAGAGCAATGATGGGGACCCAATGTGAACAGCCTCCTCYAAGGCCATGAGAATGACGGTGAGAGAGAAGATCCAGACACCAACAAGGGGGAAATCTCATCCCGGAGGCTCTGGGAAACCCTGCGTGACATCTGGGGTGGCGGGTGCCCAGGTGCCAGTGGAAGGCTGGTTATGCAGCTGCAAGCACAGGGCTCCTGTCAACACACAGCCTATGGGGATGTGTGTGCGTGTGTGTACGGCATCCATCCATTCACTGGGGTCTGCGACGTGCTCCAGGAATTTCCCTTCAAAAAACAGAATAGCAACAGAAAACAGCAACAAATCTTACAAATCTTCCTTAGCATACAACCATATGACTAATCTTGTGCTTTTTACTTTGTTATTAGATATGAGAGTATTTCCTTGAAGATAATTCATGCATTATAAATATTAAAGAAAACCAAAAACCCTAAGTTGAATGGAAAAAATAAATAAATGTAAATAAAATTTCCGGGGTTAGAGCACTGGACACCGCCAACTCATAGAAGATAGATACGACCTAGCCCCAAAGAGCCTGCAATCCTTGTGGAAGCAGATGGATACAAGCAGATGGGGAAGTACATGGAAGCAAAGAGAATGCACTGGTTGGCATGTGAGGCAATGTTCTCAGCTCACTAACAGTGAAATTGTTTCCAATTTTTTTGTAGGCGTTGCAGCAAAGAACTCTGTGAAGGAGGGATCTGAAAATGTTTAATGAGTTTTATGCTTCTAAGACAGGCCCAGAACAGGAGCAAAGTTGTATTGCTGCATTATGCATTAGTGTCTTTGTGGAGCGCAAAATCGGGAAAATGTATTGGAATATCTTGGATATACAGAAATGGGAAATACCATCATTAAAAGAGGGCTGGAAGTATGTGAATTGAGTCATAGATAGATGATCGTGAATAACTGCGTCCTCAAAGTCTTCTAAGATTATGGTTGGATACCTGCAAGAGATTGCACTGCTGAGGCTTTTGGAGTTACCAACCAAGTGGCTTAAACTACTCATTTTTATTTCGTACTTAGAATTGACTAGTTCACTTACTGCAACTGAACTACCAAGTGGTAACTCGTGCATTTGTAAAACCAGGA